TTGGAGGCAAAGAGGGGAATGTATGAGAGTATAGTTTTACCAACGCTCTTATATGGGTGTGAAGCGTGGGTGATGAATGTTGCAGCGAGGAGAAGGCTGGAGGCAGTGGAGATGTCATGTCTGAGGGCAATGTGTGGTGTGAATATAATGCAGAGAATTCGTAGTTTGGAAGTTAGGAGGAGGTGCGGGATTACCAAAACTGTTGTCCAGAGGGCTGAGGAAGGGTTGTTGAGGTGGTTCGGACATGTAGAGAGAATGGAGCGAAACAGAATGACTTCAAGAGTGTATCAGTCTGTAGTGGAAGGAAGGCGGGGTAGGGGTCGGCCTAGGAAGGGTTGGAGGGAGGGGGTAAAGGAGGTTTTGTGTGCGAGGGCTTGGACTTCCAGCAGGCATGCGTGAGCGTGTTTGATAGGAGTGAATGGAGACAAATGGTTTTTAATACTTGACGTGCTGTTGGAGTGTGAGCAAAGTAACATTTATGAAGGGATTCAGGGAAACCGGCAGGCCGGACTTGAGTCCTGGAGATGGGAAGTACAGTGCCTGCACTCTGAAGGAGGGGTGTTAATGTTGCAGTTTAAAAACTGTAGTGTAAAGCACCCTTCTGGCAAGACAGTGATGGAGTGAATGATGGTGAAAGTTTTTCTTTTTCGGGCCACCCTGCCTTGGTGGGAATCGGCCGGTGTGATAATAAAAAAAAAAATATAATATATATATATATATATATATATATATATATATATATATATATATATATATAGAGAGAGAGAGAGAGAGAGAGAGAGAGAGAGAGAAGTACCACCTTCATGCTGGAATGGGGACCCTCATCATCAGAGAAGACAATAAACGTACCTTAAGGAAAACTCAAGGTTCTCCCCGGAGCTGTTTGAATATTTTCTTCTCCTACCACCCCTATATATTTTATATTCTATGTGAACATTTATTAATATACAGAATACATTTACAGAAAAAACATAAACATGAATACAATGGCACAATGTATCAAAGATCATGAATTTCCTCCAGCTCCTCCGAGGCTGGACGCGAGCCAAGTATGCAGCAAGCATTTCCCCTCTGGATGGCTACGCTGAGGCGCTGGAACATGAAAGTGGCTGCCCTTAGGTTCCTGGTGGTGTCGATGAGTCTGGAACCCAATTCTTTAAGGAAACGTGTGACATTTTTTTCCCCATGATCCCAAGGTCTCTGATCTCATATATATATATATATATATATATATATATATATATATATATATATAATATATATATAAAATTATATATATATATATTATATATATTATATATATATATATATATATATATATATATAAAGGCTTACAGGAAGAATATTTGGATTTCTTCCTGAAGCCGTTTGAATATTTCACTTCCCCTACCACCCCATCTTTTCATTCTTTTTTACCAATAGGTATATTTTAATACAAAATATGGTACATAAGATTAAAGAGAAACATTGCTGATACAAAGATGGCACATACTGTACATGAGGTGTCAGATACATGTCTAGTAAATATTGTTACGTGTTTGTCACTGATTATAATGCGAAAATCTCATCCAGCTCCTCAGAGCTGGGGCGTGTGCCCAAAATACAGCAGACATTACCCTTCTAAACAGCCGCACTGAGTCGCGGAACAGAAAGTTGCCCTGAGATCCCTAGTTATATACACGTATATATAAATAGGATAGTGTGTAGGAGAGTACGCTAAAGGGAAGGGGTGCTTTCTCAAATAAGGAAGATGACCAATTATAGCTAAGAGAGGACCTAGAAGAACCCAAATCCTCACGACTCCACTCCCACCATCCTGTACCTCGAAAATTATTATTATAATGCCCAGAATCCTTTATGATCGTCTATGTGCAAGATTTTATCCATGGCCTAATCTTATTTTTGTTATTATTCAGTTTGTATATAATTATTCTTTAACTTGTAGTTGCAATTCCTTCCTCACTCATCGAATTAAAAACACAGAGAATCTCTGGACGATATCAAAGATAAGTGAAGATGCTACAATATTTATTTTTCTTGTACTGAATTAATGCTTTGAACAGTACATGTAATTCGTTCACAGTGTAAGTCTAAAATAATGCTTATCGACGTTTGTGCACCTCAGCTATCCTAGTAAATTCGGTAAATTCATTGTTAATTTCAATTTTGCTGACCAACATTTAGGAGGAGGATACTTGTGACTCCCAAGTTCTGGGAAAAGCCTATTGTAGGTACTTTGGTAGTAAAATGACAATTATAATATTAAAGATAAAGCGATATTTCTTTAGAGAATAAGCAATATAAGTAAAAGTATATGCAAGATTACGTGCTCATTACTGGGTGTGTATATGTGGTATTGTTTGATTTATACAGGTTAAGTGCTTCCGTTTTTTTTTTAATACGTGTAGTAAATGTTAGCGGAGCTGTGTGTACCTTCCTTATGATTCCTAATAAGACAACACAGTAATAATACATGTGGTGCAAGTCTTGCACCACATGTGCTATTTTCCCCTAAAATAACAAAAATCCGAAAAAAATATCCGTCACTGATTCTTGCTAATGACATAAAAGAAAATCACTTCACGTGCCAACTCATCTTTCATGCTTAGCCCTTCAAGTAGATGGGAGGGGGTAAGCGTTGATGCTTGTGAAAATCTCTTGATCCAAGGAATTTGAACTTTTGTGAAAAATTATTATTATTATTATTATTATTATTATTATTATTATTATTATTATTAAAGGTTGGAGAGAGGGGGTAAAGGAGATTTTGTGTGCGAGGGGCTTGGACTTCCAGCAGGCATGCGTGAGCGTGTTTGATAGGAGTGAATGGAGACAAATGGTTTTTAATACTTGACTTGCTGTTGGAGTGTGAGCAAAGTAACATTTATGAAGGGATTCAGGGAAACCGGCAGGCCGGACTTGAGTCCTGGAGATGGGAAGTACAGTGCCTGCACTCTGAAGGAGGGGTGTTAATGTTGCAGTTTAAAAACTGTAGTGTAAAGCACCCTTCTGGCAAGACAGTGATGGAGTGAATGATGGTGAAAGTTTTTCTTTTTTCGGGCCACCCTGCCTTGGTGGGAATCGGCCAGTGTGTTAATAAAATAATAAAATATTATTATTATTGTATATCACCTGCAGGAGACTTACAGGGCATTACCTGAATTATTACCTGCAAGTAATATGGTTGAGGTAAGTGGGACTTAAGTCACAGTAGGTCACTGAATTGCAACTCCTTCGACTACCCACTTCCTCACTACTTTCACAAAAGCTGGACTTGACATTAAATTAATATAATTTTAAAACCAGCTACTCTGGTAAAATTACAATTAGGTGGTTTGCTGGCTGGGTCCACAAAAATATAACCCTTAGTACAATACATATAATCCAATGGTGTTATTAGAAAAGAACTTGGTATTGCCACTTACCATTTAATTGCTGGAAGACAATGCTGATGGATTATTATTATAATCAAGGGGAAGCACTAAACCCGTACGATTATACAGCGCCTGGGGGGATGTGGAAGGCATTCAGGCTTAATTCGGGGAACTGGAGCACAGATCCAATTCCCTAAATCAAGAGCCCCTCGCCAACATCAAGGAACCTTCCCTGAGGGGAATGCTGATGGAACACACCCTAACCTAACCCCTGGTATCTAGAATTTACGATGGCCAACGCAAAAACTACTGTATATCATGGGTAGGCACTTAGCTAAGGTGTGTTGTTGGGAAGGATTCATTCAATTCCTCTATTTTCGTCCTCCATACGCAATTCTTGCGGTCCCGCAAATTTCCTGTCCCAATCCTTCAACAGAAACGTGTCAGCAATTTCTAAATTACGAAATGAGGCCAATACACCCCATTAGGCCTCCGAGGACGCGCGAGTATTCACAGAATTTCCCACTACAACCAGTGTTCAAAAATTAAGAATGGCGTCTTTCCGTGTCCCTACTCGCTGTTCTTCTAACCCCCCCCCCCTCACTCGAAATTTCTAGAAAGGGTCAAATCAGCATCACATTTTATTACACAATTATTGTATTATTCAAATATACCCATGCTGAATATAGGAAAATCCAACATTTTCCACATTAACCTCCCTTGCATCAAATTTGATTACCTCAGATTTCCCAGACCCTGCGTGATCCCTACAAGCTTAATATACTTTTTTTTATAATAATGTGTTCGAATTCCTACTCAAGAAACGGGATCGAACGTGAAACTTGCACAAAAAAAATTGAGGACAGCCATCAAAGGACATAGGTGTTCGTGGTAACTTGCGGGCGGCCTTGGTACGCCCATATTAGTCAAGGGCGGCGCCTGTGTGGGCGTGGGCGTGGGGCACAATTGTATCTGTGGTTGTGTCCTCGGGGCACTGATTACCTGTGTGTTGGGGGTGCTCCTGGCTACCATGATGTAGGAGGGAGCCACAGGGCAAGGTGTACCTAGGTGTGGCCCAAACAATTGTTAATCTCTGCCAATCGAGGAAATTTTTTGTTAGGTGTCATGCGCAGCGTGTGGTGTCACATAGGCATTATTTAATAAACCCTCACATAAAGCTACACTACAGGGCGCAGTTTTGTGTAAAATTAAGGAAGTGTATAAAAAATTGCATAGTGCGTGAAAAACTTGCCAGTATGCTTAATGTAATTTCGGATTCACTTTTTTTCCATCGAATTTAGAAAAAAAAAATCGCACTATGTAATGTAGCTTAATAATGAACTTTATTTACATCAAACAACAGTGCTTCTTATAATATTGTTTGGTCCGTTAATGGTGAAACACTAGTTACTGAGCCTGTTCACCAGCATTATAGAATATGTTAATCTTCTGATAAACTGGAGCTACCTAACCCTTCCTACGATCAAACCTGATTATCTCCAGTTACCCCATGTACTGATTTAGCATTTCTCCTTGAATTTCTCTCTTAGTATAGCAGTTAGATTCATCGCTAAATTCACGGAACCATTTTCCCATTTTCTTATACAACATTTTCTTCTTCCACAGAAAACGAGATGCGGCTCTTAGTAGTTGGTTTGGCATTGATGGTGGGCGGAGCCTGGGGCCAATCCCACTGTAAGTACCCATACATGAGAGAATATATATACAGATCATACACCAACCATATGTACTTATCTATTATAAATACCACATATATTTTCGGTCTAACTGAAGACCATTAAGCCAATAAATACCAGTATATATATATATATATATATATATATATATATATATATATATATATATATATATATATATATATATATATATATATATATATATATATATATGTCGTGCCGAATACGTAAAACTGGTCAATTAGCAAAGAACTCATTTAAAATTGAGTCCTTTCTAAAATTTTCTCTTATACGTTTAAATATATATTTTTTCATTAATGTTAATGTAAAAATTTTTAATTTTGCCCCAAAAGAATCGTAGAAAACTTACCTAGCCTTATTATAAGAGCAATTTATTTTAGCCTATCCCAATTAAATATATTTTAGATTTGTTTACAATAATTTAATACTAAACAAACACAGTGAAATATATTTTTTTTCGTTAGGTTCAGAATGATTTTGGCGAAATTATTGCATACACAAATTTTCACTTGTCCTATATGGCAAGATGAGCGTTGCTATTTAAGCCAAGATCGCAAGTTCTGCCTATTCGGCACGACACACACACACACACCACACACACACACCACACACACACACACACACACACACATATATATATATATATATATATATATATATATATATATAATATATATATATATATATACATATATTGTGTTTCGCTGCTGTTGTTATGTATAGGCTTGAAGATGGTCTCCAGGCAACCGACTATATTTCCGTTATTTCATTACCTTTTTTAATTATGTTATCTTCATTTATCATGCATCTTGTATATATTTTCATGGTCCTTACTGTACTATAGTAATTACTGTACGCAGCTTATCATGAGTGAAGTAGATCCCTTGTTCTTCATGTAGTCCATTACCTTGTATATATTTTTATACTTCAATGCTTGTTTCTTTGCTTGTATGCTGCACATTTTTTTGTAGACTTGTAGTTTCTACCTGTTGTATTTTGTGTTATGCCTGTTGTATTTTTGGTACAGTGCCTGTAGTACAGCTGTAGCATGTTCTTGACTTCTGTAAAAATTTTGTGTATTTTCCTTCAGGATAAGCTTCTCAATCTCCGTGCTCCTTAATAATATCAGAAATATCTGTCAAAGATGTGGGTCTGTCATTTATCCAAAGGTACAAACCATGTGATGATGAGGCTGAGCTGAACAGGTTCATACATCACCTGGGGAATGGGAGGTAATCAGGTGGTTTGTTCCAGGGTAAAGTAAGGTAGCTCCAACTTCTTGGATAATGACATATTTTGGGAATACAACAATGAATCATTCATGTTACATGGTGATTATTATTTTTGAGTATTGTGAAGCGCTAAAGACAAAGGGAAGCGCCTAGGAAAGAATGAAATCCAAGGATATGGAGGACAGTTCCAATTATTTGGATCAAGAGCCCTTCACCGGTGTCAAGACATCTCATGGTTTATTATTAGTATATGATTATATTTACGTACAGATACGAAGGTTGTAAATTATATATTTGCTTTGCGATCGTCTGCAGTGTAACATATTGGTTACACCTAAGTTCATATGCAGGTGTTTATGTGTGTTTATATATGTGTTTATGTATGTGTTTAACCTAATGATAGCGTAATTAGGGAGACTATATGCTTCCCGATTGGGATGAAAATAGTAGAACGAGGACGTCAAGGACGAGGCTTCTCCCTGGAAGCCTCACAGTTCATGAAATGCTTATAAGTTCACCCCAACCCTCCCTGAAGGGGCTACAACACTGTCATGATCTCTTCACTGCAAATCGATCAGCAAATAAAACATGAAGCCACGTGATAAAATATTAATAATTTCAGTTAATATTATTACCATTGCATCAGGGCATCCACCATCCCATCTCCTGAAAGATTTATTAACCAGTAGGAGAGCAAGTACTTTCTTAATATTATTTGGAACGTCAGAATTTTGTTGATCGAATTTATTCTTGTGCTGATATAAAACTTTCCAACCACGTATTTTATTGCCACATAATTGTGTATAGTGATAAAATATGTGGATAGTTATGGAAATCCCTCTAGATATAGAAATGTATATAGTCAGGGAAATGTGTATATAGTGACGCAGATGTATATAGCCACTTGAATGTGTACATAGTCGCTGAAATATGTATATTACTTTATTATGTGTTAGTGTGCGTTTTCGTGTTTGTTTTTATACTGACAATTTTTCATTATATTCTTTAAGTAATGATTTGAAATGGATTTCTATATACAAGTTTATTCAAAGAAAAGATTTGTGAAACACACACACCACACACACACACACACACACACACACACACACACACACACACCACACACATACACATACACATCACACACACACACACACACAACACACACACACAACAACACACACACACACACACACACATAAAAATAATCAATTATATACTATTAGCATTTTCATTTAAAAATTATTCATTGGATTTCAATAATTTAACTGTCAAAAAATTTAATTACATAATTTCTTTGCATTTAAGTAGTTATATATATATATAAATTATACATTTTTAGAATATTTATAAACTTAAATTTAAGCCGCAAATATAGTTTCTGTAAAGTTAAAACCCGTTATCGATTGTTAACACTTTCAGTAATTTAACAGTTTGTTTGATTATTTCATTACTAATGATGGAATTTAGATCAATATCAATCATTCCTCTGAAAGTCTTTTACTGAGTTTAGCTACCTGTAGTTAACGGGATTTAATTCTTGTGGCGGCATGTTCCATGGGTGCTTTCAGATAAAAACGGTTTTGCCGATGACACTGTGCTCTTGGGAGTTTTGAAGGAAGTTCAGAGATTGGTGGATAAATTTTGGTAGGGTGTGCAAAAGAAAAAATTTAAAAGGTGAATACAGGAAAGAGAAAGGTTGGGATAACAAAAAGATTAGGTGAGAAAGATTGAATATAGATTGGAGGGAGGGGATGGAGGAGGTGAACGTTTTAATATTTTGGGGTGGACGTGTCAGCGGAGGGTTATGAAAATGAGGTGAATCTAAAATTTGATGAGGGAAAAAGAGTGAGTGGGCATTTTAGGATCTTGGAGAAAAAAAAGAACTTTGTCCTTGGGGGCAAAGGGGGAATTTTGAGAGATGTTTTACCAAAGTTTAAGGGGTGTGAAGCGTGGGTGATGAATGTTGCGCGGGAAAAGGTGGAGCAGGGGATGCATGTTGAGGGCAATGGTGGTGTAAATAAATGCAGAAATTCGTAGTTTGGAATTTAGGAGGAGTGCGGGATTCCAAAACTGTTGTCCAGGGGCTGGGAAGGGTTGTTGAGGGGTTGGGCATGTAGAGAAAAGGGAGCAAAACAGAATGACTTAAAAGGTTTTTCAGTCTGAGGGGAAGGGAAAGGGGGGTAGGGGTCGGCTAGGAAGGGTTGGAGGGGGGGGGTAAAGGGGGTTTTTTGTGTGCGAGGGGTTTGGGACTTCCAGCAGGCTGCTTTGAGGTGTTTGATAGGGTAAGGGAGAAAAGGGTTTTTTAATATTTGACGTGCTGTTGGGTGTGAGCAAAGTAACATTTATGAAGGGATTTAGGAAAACCCGGGGGGCGGATTGAGTCCTGGAGTGGGGAAATACGTGCCCGCATCTGAAGGAGGGGTGTTAAAGTTCGTTTAAAAAAAATGTTGTTTAAAAACCTTTGGGAAGACAGTGTGGAGTGAATGATGGTGAAAAGTTTTTTTTTTCGGGCCACCTGCCTTGGTGGGATCGGCCCCCGGGTGATAAAAAAAAAAAAAAAAAATATATTATATTTATATTTATTAGTCGGCCGAATATGTAAAAGGGCAAAATTTGCAAGAATCATTTAAAAATTAGTCCGTCTAAAAAAATTTTTATACGTTTTAAAGATATATTTTTTTCATTAATGTTAATGTAAAAAAATTTAATTTTGCACTAAAAGAATCTTAGAAAACTTACCTAACCTTATTATAACAAGAACAATTTATTTTAGCCTAATCCTACTAAATATATTTTAAATACTTTTACAGTAATTTAATACTAAACAAACACAATGAAATATATTTTTTTCGTTAGGTTCAGAATGATTTTGGCGAAATTATTGCGTGCAAAAATTTTCGCTTGTCCTATATGGCAAGTTGAGCGTTGCTATTTAAGCCAAGATGGCAAGTTCTGCCTATTCGGCACGACATATATATATATATATATATATATATATATATATATATATATATATATATATATATATTATATATATACATATATACATATATTGCGTTTCGCTGCTGTTGTTATGTATAGGCTTGAAGATGGTCTCCAGGCAACCGACTATATTTCCGTTATTTCATTACCTTTTTTAATTATGTTATCTTCATTTATCATGCATCTTGTATATAGTTTCATGGTCCTTACTGTACTATAGTAATTACTGTACACAGCTTATCATGAGTGAAGTAGATCCCTTGTTCTTCATGTAGTCCATTACCTTGTATATATTTTTATACTTCAATGCTTGTTTCTTTGCTTGTATGCTGCACATTTTTTTGTAGACTTGTAGTTTCTACCTGTTGTATTTTGTGTTATGCCTGTTGTATTTTTGGTACAGTGCCTGTAGTACAGCTGTAGCATGTTCTTGACTTCTGTAAAAATTTTGTGTATTTTCCTTCAGGATAAGCTTCTCAATCTCCGTGCTCCTTAATAATATCAGAAATATCCGTCAAAGATGTGGGTCTGTCATTTATCCAAAGGTACAAACCATGTGATGATGAGGCTGAGCTGAACAGGTTCATACATCACCTGGGGAATGGGAGGTAATCAGGTGGTTTGTTCCAGGGTGATTATTATTTTTGAGTATTGTGAAGCGCTAAAGACAAAGGGAAGCGCCTAGGAAAGAATGAAATCCAAGGATATGGAGGACAGTTCCAATTATTTGGATCAGGAGCCCTTCACCGGTGTCAAGACATCTCATGGTTTATTATTAGTATATGATTATATTCACGTACAGATACGAAGGTTGTAAATTATATATTTGCTTTGCGATCGTCTGCAGTGTAACATATTGGTTACACCTAAGTTCAGATGCAGGTGTTTATGTATGTGTTTATATATGTGTTTATATATGTGTTTAACCTAATGATAGCGTAATTAGGGAGACTATATGCTTCCCGATTGGGATGAAAATAGTAGAACGAGGACGTCAAGGACGAGGCTTCTCCCTGGAAGCCTCACAGTTCATGAAATGCTTATAAGTTCACCCCAACCCTTCCTGAAGGGGCTACAACACTGTCATGATCTCTTCACTGCAAATCGATCAGCAAATAAAACATGAAGCCACGTGATAAAATATTAATAATTTCAGTTAATATTATTACCATTGCATCAAGGCATCCACCATCCCATCTCCTGAAAGATTTATTAACCAGTAGGAGAGCAAGTACTTTCTTAATATTATTTGGAACGTCAGAATTTGTTGATCGAATTTATTCTTGTGCTGATATAAAACTTTCCAACCACGTATTTTATTGCCACATAATTGTGTATAGTGATAAAATATGTGGATAGTCATAGAAATCCCTCTAGATATAGAAATGTATATAGTCAGGGAAATGTGTATATAGTGACGCAGATGTATATAGCCACTTGAATGTGTACATAGTCGCTGAAATATGTATATTACTTTATGTGTTAGTGTGCGTTTTCGTGTTTGTTTTTATACTGACAATTTTTCATTATATTCTTTAAGTAATGATTTGAAATGGATTTCTATATACAAGTTTATTCAAAGAAAAGATTGTGAAACACACACACACACACACACACACACACACACACACACACACACACACATACACACACACATACACACACACACACACACACACACACACACACACACACACACACACACCACACACACACACACACACACACACACACACACACACACACATAAAAATAATCAATTATATACTATTAGCATTTTCATTTAAAAATTATTCATTGGATTTCAATAATTTAACTGTCAAAAATTAATTACATAATTTCTTTGCCATTTAAGTAGTTATATATATAAATTATACATTTTTAGAATATTTATAAACTTAAATTTAAGCCGCAAATATAGTTTCTGTAAAGTTAAAACCCGTTATCGATTGTTAACACTTTCAGTAATTTAACAGTTTGTTTGATTATTTCACTTACTAATGATGGAATTTAAATCAATATCAATCATTCCTCTGAAAGTCTTTTACTGAGTTTAGCTACCTGTAGTTAACGGGATTTAATTCTTGTGGCGGCCATGTTCCATGGGTGCTTTCAGATAAATCGGTTTTCTCTCTCTCTTGTCTCATGACTTAGTTTTTATGCAGTTTCCAACATCGAGAAAGAGCCCCTAGGTCTTCCTAGTGATTACTTTGAACACCACGACGTTGAGCAGAAGAGTGTGGGTTCCGGAGCTCGCACGGACGTTCATCATCACTACCTAGGGGACCACAGCTCCTCCTTCGCCTCAGTTGGACAGCTGCCCTTCGGAGTCCGTATCCCCGGGTACGATAGAGTCCATTACTCCTACGGATACACCGTATCTGAAGAGCCGAACCCGAACAGACCTCAGATCCAACTAGAGACGGCAGAGGAAGCCAGAAATCAGTTAGCCAGTTCTGGATTTCATTCTGTTAATTTTCCCGATCCTCAAAAGACCATTATGGTGTCTCCTGGCACGGAGTATCTTACACAGTCAGCAGTGCCACCTAGCAGTGTGCATCTAATTCCAAAGGGTAAAATTCCGTCTCCATCGGTTCCTCTGCCACTGATAGACGATTATCTTTCCCCTGACCCCAAACCCCGAACAGACCCTTCCCCTAACACACCTATGCCAGTGACTGACCCTCCTATGTTATCACCAGTGATACCTGAGGCGGAATCGACTCCAGATACTGAACCTTTTACCACCGTCACACCGGCAGAGTCCCTGCCTCCCGTACTTCAGCCACACGGCGTGAGAGGTAAACAGGCGGCTGATACATCTGCACCGATCAAGGAAGCCTCACCTTCACTTCTCCAGGAGACTGACCACATCACTGTTCATTCAGAGCCATCAGTGAAGCAGCCTATAGTAATTTTAGCTGAGCAACACGACCAACCTATGGAGCTCATGGCTGAAATGTCTTCAGGTCCTCCTTTAGAAGTGATCGAAGAGAATGCTACAGAGCCGGTGGTGGTGCAGGAAGACCTGACAACACAGGTGCCGGTGAGAGCACTGCCGAAGTACCAGCCACATATACATAATACCCAGTCAGAAGGACCCGACCTGCTTCCTGTGATGCGAGAAGAGCAACACAAGGTGACACAAGCTCTCTCCAAGGAACCATCTCGGCTGAGAGATTCAGTCGTTGTGAGAGGAACACCCTACCCATCTTCCATCTCCGTCTTCAGCAAAACTGAAGATAATGCAGTCGGAGCCAGGTCCTTCCCGCCACAGGAACCAGTAGCGGTCATCAATAGGGACAAACCCGAGTGCTCCCAGAGTAGGGAATGTAGCGACTATGAAGTGTGTGTGAATGAGAAGTGCGTCGACGGGTGTGTGATAGCTGAGGGTGTGTGTGTAGGTAATGCTCAGTGTCGCACCCGGCGCCACACTCCCGCCTGTGTTTGTCTCGATATGTCTGTATCCGTCACGGTGTATATTGGAGGACGTCAGGCGTATGACTGTAAGCCTACAGCCATGTCGGTGCATCGTAGTCGTCCAGGCCTCCAGAGGCCCGTTGATGTCTCTGGCCGCATCTTGAACAGGGGTCGGCAACCCCAAATCTCCGAAGTCGGTGGCACCTTTCACAATTCTCACCGGACAGACATGTGTAAGCAGGCTTTCGCTCACCTCTTCGCATGAAATCTTCATCTCACTCAGTTCCACTCTCACTCTTTCGTTTTTCATTTTCAGCATTTTCGTATGCTCCGCTGTTGCCGATTGCCCCGTACTCTGTGTACCGTAAGCACTGCTCCCTTCATTGTCGTAGTCCTCATGCCGTGTGGACTGCATAGTCACCTAACTACTTACACAGTCACAAGCAGTCAGCGGCGTGTGTAACTGGTGGTTGAAACATTAACTCTAGGGTACAGTGGTACGGGCGTCCACGTGGGCCCCTGCACTACTTGCCACATCTAATATGCACAGCCTTTTGTAATCACTACTCCTCTAGTCACCAGTTAGCGCGTATCACATGAACACGGCATGAAACGTTAACCTTTACTTATTTGTATGTGTTTAGCGCTTAGTTTTGATAATAATAATAATACTTATTTATATAATAAGCGAAACATTCTCTTACACCTATTCTCCGAAAGAGTCATTACTAGTAACATGTAAAAAATTAATAGCACTAGTTAAAGTGGCATTAACATAAGTTGCTCCTTCATCAGTCTGTCCTGTTGGGATGTGTGGCAGCGGAGGTCGTCAGCTAGTAGGCAATGCTGCCTGGTTTATGTTAGCATTGCCTTCTTAGAGCTGTCTTGAGGCACTGTTGTTGCTCTAGCCCTTGGCCACCCTCACCTCGTCTTCATCTACCTGTCTGTTGCTGAATGTTTTCTTTGAGTCACATGTAAACAAACAAACACACACACACACACACATCAGGATCATCCACTACAGTGTCAAAGATAATCAAATTAACAGAGAGAATATATGCAGACGTTCTCGCCTGCTGCATCATTAACACTTCACTAACTACAACATTACCAGACATAAACTAACATTTTGTTTTGTGTTTATTCTGCTGCAAAAAAAGTGTCTCGACTTTATTATATGTACAAAAACAATGCAAATGTTAAGAGAGGTCACAGCAAGATTTGCCGTCCTGCCAAGGTAAACAGGGACATATATACTACATATGTAAATTGTTAGCCCAGCTACTTAAATGATTTAATTTACTTAAACATTAGCAAGGTTAGATTTACATGTTAATTTTGTGCGAAATATAAAAATGTGCCATAAATCTGCATAGCTATATTTCTCTGGTATCCTTGTGGAAAGCAATAAATTTTCACGTGACCCATTGAGAGAAAAATGACTCCATGACACTGTCAGCCCGACGCTGGGCCCCCCTCTGACACTGTCAGCCCGACGCTGGGCCCCCTCTGACACTGTCAACCCGACGCTGGGCCCCCACTTGACACTGTCAACCCGACGCTGGGCCCCTCTGACACTGTCAGCCCGACGCTGGACTCCTTAGACACTGTCAGCCCGACGCTGGGCCCCCCTCTGACACTGCCAGAGCAGGCTGAAGACTCACCGACGCAAGTACATGATTAACACACGTGAAACAGCCCATGTCTTTATTATAACGGTTCTCTCTAAAAGAGAGAAACCTTGTTATAATATTCTTAGGTTGTTTTATGTCTTTACATACGTGGCAGAAAGTGTCAACCCACTGTGTAAATGTACGTGGGTAGAGGTAACCCACTGTGTAAATGTACGTGGGCAGAGAGTTAACCCACTGTGTAAATGTACGTGGGCAGAGAGTTAACCCACTGTGTAAATGTACGTGATTATTCTTGTTTACCTGTGTCTGCTGAATGTTTAAATTTCCTTCACATTAACAAGTTTTGTGTTTGTTTAATAACAATTTGTAACAAAAATCATTAATTTTCTAATATTTGCCATATTTTTTTGCATTGTTACCACATATACTGTTCTTGTTTGTCTTGCATATTGTAGTATATATGTTAATGTGTACACCGTCTTATCTATGTGTGTGTAACAAGCAACATGTGCACATGGAGACAGTGTGCATGTGCTTCCAGAAATGTGTACACATATACTAGACTAATTATACGATTGTACCAAACTACATATATTTGTAAGTAACGTTTATATGCATGGAACAAAATTATGCATGATATGCATTTATCTGCTTACAAACAATGAGAGGCAGATTTTTGTGACGTGACCATAACGTAGTGTTGACGTAGTGATCATCCTAACTCATGAGTTTTTTTTTTTTTGACGTAAATGTGACGTAGAGTACAAGGTATTTATGACGTGCTGACATAGTAATTCTTTGCTCTGTAAATTTCTGTGTAATTACAGATCGTGAACTAATTATTTATGGCACAGTTTTTGTGACCTGATTAATGCATATGACGTGATTCCTGGAAAAAGTCATTTTAATTTAAATTATTAGATATTGCCGAAATGTAATTAATGTAATTCACTAATCGTTTCTCTAATCATTATCGACTTAAGAATCAATTAAACGTGTCAGTTCCTTGCAACAATTAAAATTTGTGTAGCTTTGAAAATACACCATAGAATTAGGTCTCACAATGCGAGGAATCGTGACTTAAGAACAATCCATTGCGGAGGAAAATTTAAGTTGAAATGATAAATCTGAACCAGCAAATATACACAGTGAAGTGTTGTATGACACGAAGACTCTAGGTTACTGATAACGTGGCTACGAGGACTTCTACTTTTAACACGCATGAAGAATGTTGTATACTCACCAAAATGACTGTTGTAGAATACCGTAGATCTTTCTGTCTAACCACTACATTTCTAAGATCTTCAGTTTTCTACCATGGCCATTTTGCTGAGTCTACCCTTTGGTGGCAGCGGTGGGATGCTGCAGATCTTTAAGAATAGTGGTGGTGCATGATAATACAACGACCTCTACTTGTAACAAGCATCACCTTACGGCACACAGCACACTATCCTTGTCATAGATTGTGTTACAGATAAGCAAATTAAAGGCAAATCAGTTATAAAGGTTCTAATGTCCCTTATGAAAGCTTAACAGTTTAACGCCATGATTATGTGATTAACTTGTGTTTAGCGTATTTGTGTACACAACCATTAACTTACGACTCTTTTTCGAAATCTGTTCAGTGAGTCACGTAATTAATCAGTGTCTGAGAGACAAGCAACATCAACTCACCCCCTTATTTGTCACTAAACGGCGACAAAGCTAACTACGACACCAAGGTCGGTATCATTAAGGCAGGAAAACATGGTATTTAGAGGCAGTTGGAAAATGTGAAGTGAAGGAGTATATGTCTGGCGTTCTACTAGCCTTAATTGCAGGCACTCGGAAAAGAGTAAAATTTCTGGAGTGTTGATCATTCGACACTGTAAAGTAGTACTACCAACAAGCACGCTCCTTCAAGTTTTGCAAGACATGATTTTTTTTGTAATATGGCACCGACCTGTTGTCGTAGGCCTGTCATTCCACTATTACTGTTGTCTAACTACTATTACTGCTGTTGTCTAACTACTATTACTACTGTCGTCTAACTGTTACTACTATTTGACTATTACTACTATTGAATAACTAATTTTACTACCATTGTAGAAATACTATTACTACGGTTATATAACTGTTGTTACTACTGTTGTAGAACTCCCCGTACTACTGTTGCCTAACAATCCCCCATATTCCTGGTTCATAAAGTTCCACGCTCACTCCTAACACAGCTTTCAACGGCCTAGTCTTGAAACCGTTGACTAGCTTTAGATCTTTGTTCGTCTATAAAGCTCAAAGTCAGTTGAAATTTAGTGAGTCAAGAGACCTTGTGCCTCCTCCAACTATTTATAGCTCAAATCCTCTTCTCTCACAGACTTGGAATTTATCATGCAACTTTTCTCTATTTTTGGTGTAAAATTTGTTAACAACCACTGTGACTAAAATCTCTGAGATCATTTTTAGTTACTGTTTTCTTTGTTTAGTATCTAACTTTATTTTATTCTCCCCCTCCCCCCCCTATCCATGCAATTTATTGGCAATTCCTGATGGACCATGGCAATTTCTGATGGTTTCCTGCGATTCTTGATGGTTCCTGGCAATTCCTGACCGTTCCTGGCAATTATCGATGGCTTCTTGCAATTCTCAATGGCTCCTGGGGATTCCTGATAATTTCGCGGAGCAGCCAGTGAGAGAGTGGACATCTTCCAGCGAGAGGAGTTTGACACTTCAAGAAACCCTTGCCAACCCAGCCCTTGCGGGTCCAACACCCGCTGCGAGACCGCTCGAAGTGGCGGGATCGCTGGGCGTAATACCGTGCATGCTCGCTGCCGTTGTCTCGAAGGATTCGTACCCAATGGAAATACCATCGTCGGTTGCAAGTATCAATGTTTAGAGTGAGTACCAATGTGTGGTACAAGTATTAGTGTCTACTGTATCAATATGTAGGTGCTACATATTGATGCAGCACATAATAAACATATTTTTGACAGGGGAATAACTTATTAATGAGGGACCTACAGAGAACAGGTAAAAATTAAATAATAAATTTATTATTATAATTATTATACAACCTAGGAATGAAAATAATACATTTAAAAAGTTAGAAAGATTTCTTAAAAAGTAAACTACCAGAAATGTAACTCGGAGTTGCTAGATGAGGCGAATGCTTAGATCTTATCTTAAAAATGTTACATTAGGTTGCTGTGGTTGGTAAATTGTAATTCTGGGTTGATGGGGAGGTACAACTGGCTTCTTGTAGCTCGTAAACTGGATATTTATAAAAACATTACTTTGTGTCGATCTATCATGATCTGTGGTGATTTATCATGATCTGTGGTGATCTACCATGATCTGTGGTGACCTACCATGATCTGTGATGATCTACCATGATCTGTGGTGACCTACCATGATCTGTGGTGACCTACCATGTCTGCTGTGATATACAATTATTCCTGCCGACCTACAATTGACCTGTGTTGGCATGATTTCAGTGACAGAGAGTGTCCAGACGATTATCAGTGTCGCGGGCAGAAGTGCGTGCGGGTGTGCGAGGCGGGCGCATGCGGCATCAACGCTGACTGCGAGGCCGTGAATCACAAGCCTCGCTGTTCCTGCCCACCAGGATTCAGAGGCAACCCTGAATCTAGGTGCTCTAGAGAACGTAAGTTGATCATGATTCTAGGTGCTCCAATGAACGTTAGTTGATCGTGAGTCTAGGTGCTCCAGTGAACGTTAGATGATCGTGAGTCTAGGTGCTCCAGTGAAAGTAAGTTGATCATGATTCTAGGTGCTCCAGTGAACGTTGGTAGATCGTGAGTTTTGGTGTTTCATTGAACGTAAGTTGATCATCAACAATTATGTTGAATCAAAGCTTCTCTTGATCATAGGAATTGGCGTCACCTCACCTTCCTCGGATCAGATTTAATTGCCACCCATTTTCCAGGCAGTGCATGACCCTTATGGGTTTAGAGTTTACCCAGCAACTTTGTGCCTACAATTTCCTTATCTGTTGCGAGCAAATTTGGGTGATATGTGTCTAACCGATGTGTTATATGTGTCAAAAATATTTTTTATGTGTCAGATTTACGTGTTGTGTTAAACTGCTTTATGTGTCAGACTGATGAGTTTCTGTATGTGTACAGAGATTGAGGTTCGGGACGCCCCAGAACCTCTCGAGGTGGATCCTTGCTTCTCGTCGCCCTGTGGTGAAAACGCTGACTGCAGGGATGAGCGAAGCAGAGCTGTGTGCACCTGCCCATTCGGCTATTCCGGAGATCCCCTTACCAGGTGCAACCGTGGAGAGTGCACAGGTGAGTGTGTGCCTGTGCTTGCGTGTCTGTGTGTCTGCGTCTGTCTGCTGCTGTATCTGTGTCAGAGGTAGAATGCTCAATACTTCCAGCAGCCTCTTAGAGATAGTCACTGTTGAAAATCTAACAGTAAAATAAAACAGTAAAAGACTGACAGTGATGTTACTTGAGAGGGTTCTGTGATAGCCTTTGATAAGGACTCTTCAATGAATTTATTGCCAAGACTATTGTGGTAATATTTTGTTAAAGGTAATACAGTGAAATCATTGCCAAAAATACTTGGGAAGTGTATGGACACTACAATGAAATCAGTGTCTTTGGTAAGCCTCATACCGAGATTTCTTTGTAACAGTCGTTAAATAAATTCATCGTTACCGTCTTTTAAAAATATTCTACAATGCTAACGTGTTCGTTCCACAATTATAATTATCGGAGGGACGATCGAACCTTCGTTATTCCTTGCGCTGAGTGATCCACATGAGTTTAGCGCTTCACATATATATAAAAAAAAGTATTGCTCTTTGTCTCTTATTATTCAGTTGCGAAACTCAAAACTCAGTGCAGATTATTCAGTGGAAGAAGCAGTGGAGGCTTGATCTACAGTCTGCTAGTTTCCGTAGCTAAACTTCTTGAATATTCTCTCCTTCCGACAGAGAACGACCACTGCTCGCCCAACAAAGTGTGTCAAGGGCTGAAGTGCATCGATCCTTGCTCCGACAGGTCAATGTGTGGTGCCAATAGTAATTGCCAAGTGAGGAATCACCAAGTCATCTGCACTTGCATTTCCGGATATGTTGGTGATGCCGTCAGAGGCTGCGACAGGTTTGACCCCGGTGAGTGGCAGATATATAATAATAATATATATATATATATATATATATATATATATATATATATATATATATATATATATATATATATATATATATATATATATATATATATATATATATATATATATATATATATATATATATATATATATAATATATATTATATATATATATTATATATATATTATATATATGTTCAGAATAAACCGAACAGGTGTATTTCCAAGTTACATAATTTTCACGAAACTTTCATGTATAGTTGGAGTATGAGTGTGAAGTGCTATATTAACTTTTTTCTTATCGAAGTGAAATTCTCTTAATTTTTTTAATCGCTCTATTAAACCTCTTCTCCTCTCTGAAAACACTCACAATCTTTCCCCCACAAACACTTCATTCCTGATGTCACCTCTTTGCTCGCTCGTGCACACCCCTCTTGACTGTCGTCTAATGTGTGTTTGTATAATCCTCAGCAACACTGTGCAACCCGAGCCCGTGTGGCCAGAACACGAACTGCAAGGTGAAGGATGGACGCGCTGTGTGCTCCTGCTTTGTAAACTACCGTGGAGACCCTCTCACAAAATGTATCCCAGACTGTGAGCGCAACGAAGATTGTTCATCCTCTCAGACCTGCAGGAACAATGTGTAAGATATTTATTGTTACGAAAACGTAAAAACTTTCAGAATCTGAGGTTTAATGAAGTACATTTGAAAGGACAGAATAAACATCTAGTCAGTAGTGTGTACTGGTAAAATAATCTCAGCGATCCTTTCTCTATAACTACTTTAATTACACCTTGAATAACCGTCAGGTTATCATTATCTTAGGAAACATTACCATGTAGTACTTCTTGAACGGAGTGCAAACCCTTTTCTGGTAGACCACTGAATGCTTAACCAGTTACATTTCATCATTTGACAAAGACCCGTGTCGGAGACACTAGTACTGCTGTTTTTCTGACACGCTACTGTTCTATATTTTGTGTTACAGGTGTGTCAACCCATGCAGTGGCAACGCGTGTGGCGAGAATGCCATCTGCGAAGTGAGGAACTACCAGGCCATCTGCAGATGTCCAGAGTACTACTCGGGAGATCCCTACAACAGGTGAAGCACACCCTCACCCTCATACTGAGCATTCTCTAGATCTTATTTTCGTGCTTTTGTAATGTTTTTCTTTCATCCTTCATTCCCTCCTATAACTTTCCATTGAACTCAGTGCCACTGCATGTACTTTGTTTATCACAGGTCGCTGGTTATTTACGTATAATAATGAAACCAGTTTTAAATAGTATTAGAAAGGAATACTCTCTTGAGTCGGACTTGAACATGGAATCAGGCTCCGTCTCTCTTGTAGATAAAGGAGCCGAGTTGTGGTGACATTTCATATATGGTGAGTGTTGCTGTGTATGTTTCAGATGCACAGCTCAGTGCTTTGATCATGACGACTGCCCGAATCACCAAGCATGCTCCCTGCTGAAGTGCATCAACCCGTGTGAGGGAGCATGTGGTGAGCGCGCTGACTGCAAGGTCAACGACCACCAACCTATTTGCTCCTGCCCCAGGGGCATGACCGGCCATCCCTTCGAAAGGTGCCGCCCCTTCACCGACGGTATGTGACACTACTCTCACGCAAAAGCATATATACTGTACATATATCAATATATCTATACATACAAACACACACACACAACACACACACACACACACACACACACACACACACACACACACACACACACACACACACATCACACAACAATCAATCAATATATATTATATATATATATTATATATATATATATATATATATATATATATATATATATATATATATATATATATATATTTATTATCACACTGGCCGATTCCCACCAAGGCAGGGTGGCCCGAAAAAGAAAAACTTTCACCATCATTCACTCCATCACTGTCTTGCCAGAAGGGTGCTTTACACTACAGTTTTTAAACTGCAACATTAACACCCCTCCTTCAGAGTGCAGGCACTGTACTTCCCATCTCCAGGACTCAAGTCCGGCCTGCCGGTTTCCCTGAACCCCTTCATAAATGTTACTTTGCTCACACTCCAACAGCACGTCAAGTATTAAAAACCATTTGTCTCCATTCACTCCTATCAAACACGCTCACGCATGCCTGCTGGAAGTCCAAGCCCCTCGCACACAAAACCTCCTTTACCCCCTCCCTCCAACTTTTCCTAGGCCGACCCCTACCCCGCCTTCCTTCCACTACAGACTGATACACTCTTGAAGTTATTCTGTTTCGCTCCATTCTCTCCACATGTCCGAACCACCTCAACAACCCTTCCTCAGCCCTCTGGACAACAGTTATGGTAATCCCACACCTCCTCCTAACTTCCAAACTACGAATTCTCTGCATTATATTCACACCACACATTGCTCTCAGACATGACATCTCCACTGCCTCCAGCCTTCTCCTCGCTGCAACATTCATCACCCATGCTTCACACCCATATAAGAGCGTTGGTAAAACTATACTCTCATACATTTCCCTCTTTGCCTCCAAGGACAAAGTTCTTTGTCTCCACAGACTCCTAAGTGCACCACTCACCCTTTTCCCCTCATCAATTCTATGATTCACCTCATCTTTCATAGACCCATCCGCTGACACGTCCACTCCCAAATATCTGAATACATTCACCTCCTCCATACTCTCTCCCTCCAATTTGATATCCAATCTTTCATCACCTAATCTTTTTGTTATCCTCATAACCTTACTCTTTCCTGTATTCACTTTCAATTTTCTTCTTTTGCACACCCTACCAAATTCATCCACCAATCTCTGCAACTTCTCTTCAGAATCTCCCAAGAGCACATGTTCATCAGCAAAGAGCAACTGTGACAACTCCCACTCTATGTGTGATTCTTTATCTTTTAACTCCACGCCTCTTGCCAAGACCCTCGCATTTACTTCTCTTACAACCCCATCTATAAATATATTAAACAACCATGGTGACATCACACATCCTTGTCTAAGGCCTACTTTTACTGGGAAATAATTTCCCTCTTTCCTACATACTCTAACTTGAGCCTCACTATCCTCGTAAAAACTCTTCACTGCTTTCAGTAACCTACCTCCTACACCATACACCTGCAACATCTGCCACATTGCCCCCCTATCCACCCTGTCATACGCCTTTTCCAAATCCATAAATGCCACAAAGACCTCTTTAGCCTTATCTAAATACTGTTCACTTATATGTTTCACTGTAAACACCTGGTCCACACACCCCCTACCTTTCCTAAAGCCTCCTTGTTCATCTGCTATCCTATTCTCCGTCTTACTCTTAATTCTTTCAATAATAACTCTACCATACACTTTGCCAGGTATACTCAACAGACTTATCCCCCTATAATTTTTGCACTCTCTTTTATCCCCTTTGCCTTTATACAAAGGAACTATGCATGCCTGGTGGTTAACGCTCTCGCTTCACACGGTGAGGGCCTGGGTTCGATTCCCAGCCAGAGTAGAAACATTGGACGTGTTTCTTTCCACCTGTTGTCTATGTTCCCCATCAGTAAAATGGGTACCTGGGTGTTAGTCGACTGGTGTGGGTCGCATCCTTGGACACTGACCTAAGGAGGCCTGGTCACAGACCGGGCCGCGGGGGCGTTGACCCCCGGAACTCTCTCCAGATAAACTCCAGATGCTCTCTGCCAATCCCTAGGTACCTTACCCTCTTCCATACATTTATTAAATAATTGCACCAACCACTCCAAAACTATATCCCCACCTCGAGGTGGGGATATAGTTTATATATATATATATATATATATATATATATATATATTATATATAACATATATAAACAAGAATGGACGGGGACTCGAACAGTGTAGCAAGTGCTTGCTGTACGTCACTGCTACGGTTCAAGTCCCCATCCATGATCGTTCATTACGATTTATCTCAAGTTTATCTATGTATTATATATTGTTTTGCATATTGTGATTATATATATATATATATATTATATATATATATATATATATATATATATATATATATATATATATATATATATATATATATATGTATATGTCGTGCCGAATAGGCAGAACTTGCGATCTTGGCTTAAACAGCAACGCTCATTTTGCCATTGAGGACAAGTGAAAATTTGTGTATGCAATAATTTCGCCAAAATCATTCTGAACCTAACGAAAAAAATATATTTCATTGTGTTTGTTTAGTATTAAATTACTGTAAATAAATTTAAAATATATTTAGTTGGGTTAGGCGAAAATATATTGCTCTTCTTATAACAAGGTTAGGTAAGTTTTCTAAGTTCCTTTTGGTGCAAAATTAAAAAAAAATTACATTAGCATTAATGAAAAAAATATATCTTTAAACGTATAAGAGAAAATTTTGGAAAGGACTTAATTTTAAATGAGTTCTTGCTAATTGACCAGTTTTACATATTCGGCACGACATATATATATAATGTATATATATATATATATATATGTCGTGCCGAATATGTAAAACTGGTCAATTAGCAAGAACTCATTTAAAATTGATTCCTTTCTAAAATTTTCTCTTATACGTTTAAAGATAATTTTTTTTCATTAATGTTGATGTAAAATTTATAATTATTCACCAAAAAGGAACTTAGAAAACATACCTAACTTATTATAACAAGCAAAATTTATTTTACTAACCAACTAAATATATTTTAGATTTGTTTACAATAATTTAATACGAACAAACTTGGTGAAATATAATTTTTCGTTAGGTTACAGAATGATTTTGGCGAAATTATTGCATACAAAATTTTCACTTGTCCTAATTGGCAAGATGCGTTGCTATTAAGCCAAGATCGCAAATTCTCCTATTCGGCAACAATATATATATATATATATATATATATATATATATATATATATATATATATATATATATATATATATACATGTGTGTGTGTACATGCATAGTGAATCCCGTAATCGTTGGGACCGAGGGCGTTACTGTTTAGCCATAATATGTAATATATATGTGCTTTCGTCGAGTCAAACCAGAGAGGGTAACCAGCCTCTTGTTACGCTACAGAGGATTTCTGCAAACCCAACCCATGCGGTGATGGTGCCAACTGCCAACCTGGTACAGACAGAAGTGGGGTGAAGAAGGCAGTTTGCACGTGCCCTCACGGTTACATCGGTAACCCTCTGTCACGGTGCACAAAGGGCCAATGCACTCAAGACAACGAGTGTCCTGGTTCCCAGACCTGCTTCCTTTTCGAGTGCAAGGTGAGTGGCACACACACTACTGAAATATTGAAAAATATGAGAAAAGTGTATTTTTTGAAGTTAAAATATGGAATAAGATACATTCGGTAAATCCAATTAAGTGAATGATTATTATTATTCTTTGTTGACCCTTGTGGGTTAAGAACTTAGTTTTGATATTATTATTATAAGATAGTTTTAGCAGTATCCTTATATAAATATTTTTTTGTCTTTTCAAATATTTTTATCTTCTTGAAGTTCATACTCTTCCTTGTAGTTTCCTCTTTTATTTTCTCACTTTGATATCCCAAGTTACACATACTGATCACACCATCTTGGTGTCTGTGCAGGACCCTTGTGTAGGCATCACCGGCAGCGTGTGTGGTGAGAACGCCAAGTGCATTGTCAGGGACCGCAAGCCTGTGTGTTCCTGCCCTGTTGGATACACTGGTGACGCTCGCCAGGCTTGTTCCCCAGCACCTCACAGCCGCGGCCGCTTCTCTCTAGGCAGATTCAAGTAGTGAGACATACACAAAGACACGTCCCCCTTAATTCCCCTTGGACAGATATGAAGCGTCAAGAAGAAATGGAGAGGCTACAGAATGGTGAAAGACTGGCTGTTGTGTCGTCCATTTGAAGCAGGGGAAGGCAGACTTGAGTAATATTAATTGAACTGTTATGAAGTTTTGTCGGTAGCGTCGTTGGAGTAATTTGTCAGTGTTCAAGGCTCTCTAGCTTATTTAGAAGAGATGCGTAAAAAAATACCGAAACTACTGCGACTTCTCACCCGTGGGAAGGGAAGAATTACACCACAAAATACTAGACTACAGTAAACCACCTTACAACATACACTGTATTTAAATTCGCTTCAGTAATACAGTAATAAAAACTTAATTATGCGAAAAAATACATTTAATTAATAAAAAGTTCGAATTTTTCTATACTTTGTAATATAAAAATATTCTCTGATCGGCGTTTTGACCGAGATGTTGGTACATCAGCAGATAAAATAAATTTTCAATACTCGAATTCAATTATTCAGTTTCCGGGTTGCATTTGGCAATGATCAGTTCAAACACTAACGAGCCCTCTACTAAAAAAAAAAATCAACCTCTTGGTCTTACCCCGGAAGGGTCAATGTTGTCTGTGCTCGGTGTCACACGAACCTTACACCACACCAAGCTTTACTTCATTAATAATAGTTCCAGTTAACCAGCCGTAGATTTGCACAAACTCTTTTTTATTTTTTTTAATCAACTTTTGTAAAGTCGGCGAAGCGTTGTATAATATAAAATCAACTTAGGGCTGTCGCTTGCAGTGGTACTAAAATACGAACCGAAACATTGTCCAATCGTGTCTGCTTTTCCTAGTCATCCTATACTAAACATTGTGTAGAAAACGGGAGCTGGTGTTTTATAAAGATGAGCGTGTAAGAAGAAATGGGAGGTGTTAACAGCGTAAAATGCTCTAGAAGGCTGTCTCTTCGAGTTTTTCTGGTGGAACTTTACTCCAGTGATCAATGTAAACCCTGGGTGCAGATTTCTGAAAGATTCTTCATCGCGACATTCATGTTAGGAGAGCCTTAGTGCACTGCCTGTGTTTCGGCCCCACCCCGTTCCGCCCACTTTCTAAATGGGCTCCGCCTAGCCTCTTTTTTCAAAAAAAATGCTTTCTCAATGAACCCAGTTCATTGGGTCATACTTAGCCTCTTCCAGACCCTATTTCCTCAATAAGTCTCGCCCGTTGGGCCTCATCACTCAGTCTAGCTTTGTCCCCGCCTACTGTGTCCTCGTCCCACCTTCACCCCCGTTGGGAGGATACCTGTAGCCAAGACATCTTTCAGAATATGTATGTATGTATGTATGTGTCACTCGAGAGTTCCCATTGCTGTGTAATTATTCCTAGTTAGTAGAGATCCTCGAACTGAGCCTTCGTCCCCCTCACTAGTTATGGGTTATACCAAATAACACACTAATATTATTCTTCATTAATATATATAAATACAAAATACAAAAATCTACGTCGTGTTTGTTTCTCCACTGTCCTTTCTATCAACACAGAATGAAGACAAATGACAATTACGAAGGTAATCCTGTCTATAAGATGCATCAGATATTAATATCTGATGGAGAAAGAAATTTATAGATACTAGCTCCATCACCTCCGTGTGTTACAGTGACTAGTAAATAGTCCAAGTCGAACCGAAACGTTGTCATAAGCTTCTTTCTCCTATGTGCGAGTTATTTGTGTAATATTTAAAGCCGTTTGGAAGAGGCATACTAAAAGTTTTATGAAAAATACCTCAATTTAAAAAAAAATGGAACAACACATTTCAATAACAATCGCAACCTTATTTTCCTAAACAGGATAAAAAAAAGAGTTGCCAGTTTGAAGCCGATGTGAAGAAGCTTCCTCAAGTTATCACGCAGAAACCATTATCGGGAATGGTCTAATATAAAGCTATTGAGTGGGCACCTAAACACGCCAATACTTGCACGAACCTTGCTTATGTCACATTGTAAGTAGGAGTTCTGGTTTGAGTGATGGCGGAAGGAAACAATAGCAGACCCATGCGGAGGAGATATTTGGTGAGCGTCTGCGCGTCTGGTCAGCCTGATGGAAGTTAGGGAGCGACCTGCGGCCTAGCAGCCTGGGTCTCGGGAGTCCGTGACGTCAGCTTGACAAGGAAGCCTATCTATAAATGTTGCTAGAAAATATATATATAAGTATTACACTGTTAACAACAGTACATCAACGTTCACAAATATGAAACGGATCGAACGAGGCGTTCTCAATCTTGACAAGATAAATTTATAGGACGAAAAAGAATGTCAGCTATATAGCATTCGTCTCTTGGTAGACACCCCTCAAGGGAAGTAGGTTCCTTGATGCTGGCGAGACGCTCTTTATCTAAGGAGTTGGCCCTTGTGCTCCAGTTCCTTGAACCGAGCCTCATGAGTGGCTTCCATTACCCCCCTTTCCTTCTTAGGCGCTGTAGGACCCCCTACGGGTTAAGCGTTCTCCCATGAGTTTAATAGTAAACACTTTGTGAGTGCTGGCGATATGGTCAGCAGTAGTTGATGGTATAAATGAGTTAGGTGCCTTGATATCGGTGAAGGGCTCTTTGTCCAAGGGGTTGCTGGAGCTATTTTCCCCTGATTATTATTTCTTTAATTTGCTTGAAGTATGACTCGCACGGGTTTGGCGCTTCCCCGTGAATAATATAACAACTGAGTAAATGTACACGTACTGTCAGTTGTATAAACTGCCATAGACAGTCAGGAATAGACATTGCCAAAGACAGATTTATACACTGTCATAGACACTGTCAGGTGTATACACTGTCACATACACTGCTAGGTGTATACACTGTTATAGACACTACCAAGTGTATACACTGTCAGGTTTAAACACTGTCATAGTCAGGTATATACACTGTCACAGGCACTATCAGGAGTACACACGATTACGCAGACTGTCAGGTGTATACATTGCCACAGACTATCAGATATTATCACTGCCACAGAAATTGTGGCAGTGATAATGTACTAGTAGTCAATATACTAGTAGTCAAGTGTATACACTGTCATTCACTGTCAGGTGTATAAACACTTACTGTGTCAGGTATATTCACACTCATAGACACTGTCAGGTGTATACACATTCATAGACATCGTCAGGTCTATACACACTCATGGATACTGTCGGGTGTATATACACCCATACAGTGTATCAGGTGTATATACATTCATACACTGTGTCAGGTGTATATGGACTCATACATTGTGTCAGGTGTATATACACTCATACAGTCAAGTGTATATACACTCATACACTTTCAGGTGTATATACACTCATTGTGTCAGGTGTATATACACTCATACACCGTCAGGTATACATATACTCATAGTATCATGTATACACACTCATAAACAGTGTCAGGTGTATACACATAGTCATATGTATACAGTGTCACACGTATACACACTCGCAGACAATAAGTTTTCTTTGCTATATTGACATGTAATGGTGGGTGCTTTGATGCTAGGGAAGTGTTCTTGTTTCAACTGAATGGAGCTAATTTCCTTTTCCTTGGAACAATCCTGATTGCGCTGTACGAGCCTTGTGTATGTGTAGTGTGGCTGCAATACTTGAGTCAAAGCTCGTGTGTGTGGAGGTCACCTCAGCATATCAGCTGACTAATCATGTGTTGTCTGGCAGGTGTATGGCTTCAGAGAGAGACCCTTCTTTCTCTCTCCAAGCCTTCAGGAAACTTCTGTTACCAATATCAGTATTCTCTCTCCGTACATCGTCGCCCAGTTGAGGTTTATCTTTCATTATATACTGAAGAAAACACCGAGACTAAAATATATATATTTACAAAAGTACATCTAAAGCCACACGGGATAAAATAAATGAGGTCGCGGTGTAAAATAACCAAGCTTGTGGTATTTACTTGTATAATGTTACCAAGGAGTACGACTCGTTGCACTTGCTTGTATTGTACCCGGCTAATATAGAATCAGTGGCCGCATAACCTGTGACAACAAATATATCTGTCTTAGAGCGGAGAATGTGACAAATGCGCTGGTTCCATCATCACTGTCATACATGGAGGTAAGTGCATGATGTCCTCACTGTGTGGTAATAACCAAATGAAATGGAAGAGTTGGTCAGTGAGTGTTGACAAGTCAGTAGCCTGTCAGGGGTCTTCACGGGAGGACATGCTTGCTTCCTCGTGTTTATATTTTTTCGTGTTTGTAAACAATTTTTTTTCCTGTTTACGTTTTCAAGATATTTCAGTGTTTGTAAAGGAATAATAAGCCTGTTTTTGTGTCTTAGTCTCAAACAATGAAGTTATTTGACACTTCAGGAAGTGATTCATATGTTGATGCTTCACATTTTTCAATACGAGTTAATTGTTGTCAGGTCATTTTTTCCTGCAAGAATTCATTGAAAGTGCCACTGGTGAGCCACTAACTCGGCCTGACCCTACTCTGCCTAGTCGAATTTAAGGTAAGAAGCTCTGTGACCCAATCGGGTTTAAGGCATGCTTTTGAATATTGTATTCAGGTTTCTCATTACGGGTATAATGTGCTGGAGAATTTTAGAACAAAAACAAGCCTACACTAGTTGTATTTAAAACGTATTATATGAATGGAGGGGAGGGGAGGGGAGGGGAGGTCTTCCTTCAAGAGTGGTGCCCTGATACAGGTGACAGGCACTTGATCCAAGAAATTGGAGCTACCCAGCCCTTCAGATTAAAACTGATAACAGGCGTTGTCACCCTTACGGGTATAGTGCTTTCCTATAGTAATGATATTGATGTTGATGGACATCTTGATTCTTACTGAGTATGTAGATTGCAGCTTTAATTATCCTCGTGTAGTAAACAGTTCGCAAACATAACATACTACAAGTTTTCGAAAAAAAAGTTTTTTTCTTAGTGAACTTAATGAGATTTTTAGGCTCTGTTAGTACACTCTTTGATACTACAGAACATGTTAATAAAATCTTATTTTATTTCATCAAAATTAAGTTAGCAACGCACCCTTGTTGCAGTTTACATAATGTGTTACAGCTTACGCCTAACCTGTCTGCCTTCAGGGAAGATGCCTTGACCCTAATGAAGGACTCTTGAAGTTACCTCTCTTTCCTTGGATCGAATTGCCTGTCATTTCCCAGACTCTGTCATTTTAACTGTTTCCCTGTTTGCCTACGACTAGGCTCTTTTCACTTTCGTCGTGCATGTATAATCATAAAGGTGCCTATAGGGACCTCGGGGAACGTTAAAGAATCTTTTGACAGTGACAGTTTAATGGGATTTTTATTTGATTCTTATTATTTTTATATTGGCGAGATTATATGTATTTGTGTTTTACATTTAGCAGTTTTTATTATTTGTTAATTTTAGCCTTTATGTTCTTGTATGTATTTTATTTATATTATTAACTGAGAAGAGTGCTGAATTATCCGTCTGGTCAGAGAGATCAAACTTCTCTTCATATCTCAAAACTGCTACCTACATACCCCAGGAGCTGTATGACTCCTACGGGTTTAGCACTTCCTTTTGAATATAGCAACATCTTAAACCTATCAAACAGACCATCAGTTTAATATGTTAATTTGGCGATGTTCAACCTAATTTTCGAAAATTTAACAGAACAAAAATATAAAATTCTTATTTGCCAGTAATTTCTGAATAAACCATATCAGCTACTTCTGCCTAAAAACACACATATGGTGGCAGTAAAAAGGGAAAATGCAGTCATTATTTATATTCCTGCCAACAACTGTGGCCATCTTCAGCAAAGTATTAAGGCAGATAACACGACTCAGCAAGCACTCCGAGAGCTGAGAGGTATTGAAGAGATCAGGTATCTGCTGGCCTTGTCATCTGTTGAATTTTGTGCTTATTCATGATGAATTATTATTAGTATTATTACATTCATAGTGTTAGCAGTTCAGTAAACCAACAATTTTTTATTATTTTTTATTATCACACTGGCCGATTCCCACCAAGGCAGGGTGGCCCGAAAAAGAAAAACTTTCACCATCATTCACTCCATCACTGTCTTGCCAGAAGGGTGCTTTACACTACAGTTTTTAAACCAACATTTACACCCCTCCTTCAGAGTGCAGGCACTGTACTTCCCATCTCCAGGACTCAAGTCCGGCCTGACGGTTTCCCTGAACCCCTTAATAAATGTTACTTTGCTCACACTCCAACAGCACGTCAAGTATTAAAAACCATATGTCTCCATTCACTCCTATCAAACACGCTCACGCATGCCTGCTGGAAGTCCAAGCCCTCGCAACAAAACCTCCTTTAACCCTCCCTCCAACTTTCCTAGGCCGACCCTACCCCGCCTTCCTTCCACTACAGACTGATACACTCTTGAAGGTCACTCTGTTTCGCTCCATTCTCTCTACATGTCCGAACCACCTCAACAACCTTCCTCAGCCCTCTGGACAACAGTTTTGGTAATCCCGCACCTCCTCCCAACTTCCAAATTACGAATTCTCTGCATTATATTCACACCACACATTGCCCTCAGACATGACATCTCCACTGCCTCCAGCCTTCTCCTCGCTGCAACATTCATCACCCATGCTTCACACCCATATAAGAGCGTTGGTAAAACTATTACTCTCATACATTCCCCTCTTTGCCTCCAAGGACAAAGTTCTTTGTCTCCACAGACTCCTAAGTGCACCACTCACCTTTTCCCCTCGTCAATTCTATGATTCACTCATCTTTCATAGACCCATCCGCTGACACGTCCACTCCCAAATATCTGAATACATTCACTCCTCCATACTCTCTCCCTCCAATCTGATATCCAATCTTTCATCACCTAATCTTTTTGTTATCCTCATAACCTTACTCTTTCCTGTATTTACCTTTAATTTTCTTCTTTTGCACACCCTACCAAATTCATCCACCAATCTCTGCAACTTCTCTTCAGAATCTCCCAAGAGCACAGTGTCATCAGCAAAGAGCAACTGTGACAACTCCCACTTTGTGTGATTCTTTATCTTTTAACTCCACGCCTCTTGCCAAGACCCTCGCATAATTGATGGCAGATCAATGGCAGCATATTTATTATCTAATGGTTTTAATTGTAACCATAATTTTTAAGAGGGGGAGGGGTGAACCGGTAAGCCAGCGGAAGGCCTCGGTCAGATGACCAAAACTTCAGGTGCGGGTCATCATATGACTAACACCCTCGTTAAGAAATACTTGTTCTGTTTCCTGACAAACTTTACCTAGCCTAACCTGGCAGCATATTTCATTCAGCAGAGCGCCAGTCAAAACGGAAAGCACACACACTTTACAGGAAAAATCTCTTATTTCCTAATAAATTTTCGCACGACTATCAACTTTCCTGCAATATTCCAGTTATGATTCTAGAAGCGCTTAGCTGCTAAGTCGTTCAAGGATAGCGGCGGCAGAGGAACTATAAATTCGTTAAGCATACAGAACCATGAGAACGGGAAGTAATTTGGTTTGATCAGAGGAAAGGGGAGGGTATCACTTATTCCTTGAATCAAAAGGCAGTCACTAGTATCAAAATCACCCATCTACCATCCGTTCACGGGAGGTAGATGCCTTGATGCCAGTGAAGGGCTCTTGATAAAGTAATTTTATTTATCCTCCGTGTCCTTGAATCAAACCTGATTAACTGCCACTTCCCGGGCACTATATAACCGCTATGGTTTTAGCGCTTTTGATTAAAATGAAAATAATTGTACATATAACTTGTTTTATATCAAGGAGATGCTTCCCAGATATTATCATGGAAATGATAAGCTTGTGAAGTACTCTTGATCCGAGGCATCTTTTCCTGTCTGCAAGCTCTCTATGACTTAAGCGTTTAACTCTTCTCTAGGAATATACTAATCAGCAAGCTGACGAACTGCTGTCCTGTATATATCACAGATCTCTTGCATTCATTTTCTCTAGTGATTATATTTTTTTACATGTAGGTCGTATGTATGACAGTTTAATAATATAGTCAAGACAGTCATACTCTGCGACAGTTACCGACTGTTTACAGTCATGCACACGGGGTATATCAAGAAAACTCCTTTTTATTAAACTACCAATAATACAATTATTTGTTTTTATTATATTAGTGAGATATACAATGTTACAACCTATTTATCACAAACATTTTCAAGTATAAGAAAAATGTAAAGCCTACTCAACAACACTCGTTGATCCGTAACTAACTTGAACATTGTATAAATCACAATTTGCTACTTGTTGGCCACAGAACTTATTGTGACTTGATAATTGTCCAGCGCTCAACCCTGAAGGGATTTAACTCTCTCTTACACAGTAATACCAATAATATCTTTTTTATGAAACTGTTGTAAGAATTGTGTCAGTGAATCTTAGGAAAATACAAAAAAAAAAAGACTGAAAAATCCGTAGGGGGGGGGGGGGATAAAATTTCCTACAAAAAAATCCACGGAAAGAATCCAACATAAAAAATATCGTAACCGAAACTAAACAGTTTTAGCTGGATTTAATCTTTGTTGGATTTTTTCTTGGACTTACAAAAATGGTTATAACTATGACCATAATTTTTAAAGGGGGGGGGGAGAAAGGACCGGTAAGCCAGCGGAAGCCCTCGGGCAGATGACCAAAAGCTCCAACGGCGAGTCATTATCTGCCTAAGACCCGTGTCAGGAAACACTTGTCCTGTTTCCTGACGAACCTTACCTAACCTAACCTTTTCTTGAATTTTCTCTCCGTTTACCAGTTGAAATTATGTATTTGGTTTACAGACATGGTGGTATTATTTTGCTTCGGAAGAAATGTTAAAATTTGTGGTCCCGTGGATATTTAGTTGACTCTCTCGGTGAAGCCTTTTGTCAGGAGAGGGAGAAGCCGTCCGCTGGTTTGCCCCTCCACTCTTAAGATAAATAAATATCATGATATAAAACTTTGTTGAGAGAGTCAAGACAAAAGGTGTTACCACTTTTTCAGTTATCCAACACAGCATGGTTACTGTAAGAGTAAGTTGATAATTGAAAGGATGATATTAAGAAAGCATCAACTCTAGGAGAGTTAATTGACACTTTGTCATCACTAGGAGAGTTGATTGATATCTTATCCCTAGGAGAGTTGAGTGGCCAGCCAGTCAAGTGCCTCGTACACTCCCGAGGAGTTGACGGCGCAGGTGGGCTGCACGAACCAGGGTCGAGTAAGGTTACGGAGGTTGAGCGAGTGAGTAATAGCGTCGACAGTAGCGGCGTGGGGCAGGTCCTGCTTGTTAGCCAGCACCAGCAGCGGACACTCACACACCTCCTCATTCTTGAGCTGCAAGAAAGAGAGAGGCTAAAGTTAGCAGCTTGTTCTCACAGTGACACTGTTTATTACTGAACTGAGGTCTGAGGAATATGATCTATCAAATATGTTGACTTTATGGTTCCTTAATTCTGATTGCGGTGTTGAATACGAACAAAACTATGAGGTAATCCATTAAGAGGCTACGAATGAATAACAATAATGATAACAGTATATAAGTTGACTGTTTATTATCAACATTAAAAAGATAATCCACAGAACATTAAAATATATCTTCACCTCGAAGCACGAACTTGGCTCACTCTAATAAAATAATATTGAACTTAATAGTTATTGTTCATCCGAATTTTAGGCAGGAAGACTTTTCAGTTTACTTTATGAAGAACTAGCTCCCGGACCTGTCTTACCAAGGACTCTTAACTCCTAATCTTGTCTTACCAAAGACAGCTCCTAGACTTGTCTTATTAAAAACATTTGCTCCTAGACTTGTCTTACCAAAGACACGAACTCCTGATCTTGTCTTACCAACGACTCTAGCTTCTAGACTTATCGAAGACATGATCTTATGTTTTCTTATCAAGGTCACTAGCTCCCAGACATTAGCTTTTAGACATGTCTTACTAAAGACACTAGTTCTTAGATTTGACTTACAATAATGTCTAGCTCCTCGCGTGACTCCGCCAGTCGCTGGGGATCGTTACTGTCAACGACGTAGATAATGGCTGAGGTGTTCTGGAAGTAGTGCCTCCACAGTGGCCTCAGTCTCTCTTGGCCTCCCACGTCCCACACAGTGAAGCTGATGTTCTTGTAATCAACCGTCTCTACGTTAAAACCTGCAAGAAGTTATCGTGAGAAATGTTGAGGTTATCTGGATGTAGAAGCTATAACTTGGGGGGGGGGGGATAGCCCCTAAAGGCCACTCCCAGACCATGGTGCACTCTGACCTTTATGAGTTTAGCGATATTCATGGAAATAATAATGAAAGGTTGGTTAGGGTTAGAGCCAATGGACAGCACAAGGATAATTAAAGACTGCATTTTATCTATACTATTGGGTTATCCCAGGTTAAATCTACCTAATTAAAATTGTATGAATAAAACATTTATATTCCCCTAGAGCCATTGTACGAATTTATAATGTTGTTTGTAAAAATAATTTGTATATTTTCCTAACGAAAATGTCCTGCAATTTGAGATTTTAGCTTAGCCGGGACCTTAATCCTTAAAACCTTTAAATAATAAGAAAGATACTATTTGTATTATTAAGCTGGAGGGTTAGTAACCCAGGATAACCTGATAGTCACTATGGCTTAATTCATTAAGGTCCTTGAATCCTTTTTCCCGCAGCAGCCGGTTAACACCCTGGTACCTACTTACTATGAGGTGAACAGTGGCAGCAGGTGTTTAGTAAGCTTATTTATGAACAGGTACACGTAAGTGCAATTGCAAAAATTTAGGTGACTACAATTATCATATTATTATTATTAATTATTATTATTATTATTACTATTATTATTATTATTATTTATTATTATTATTATTATTATTATTATTATTATTATTATTATACGTAATAACACGTGTAGATTACCTAGGATAACCCCAAAAAAAAGTCAGACGAAATGTGAAGCTCCTGCTTCACACACGGAGGGCCCAGGTTCGATTCCCGGCGGGTGGAAACATTTCGACACGTTTCCTTATTTCATCTTAATTCCACTTGTGCTGGGATAGAACCCAGATCCATCAAATGAGAGCCGCGGGTGCTACCACCGTGGCCTGGTGGCTGAAGCTCCCGCTTCACACAGGGAGGTCCCGGGTTCGATTCCCGGCGGGTGGAAACATTTCGACACGTTTCTTTACACCTGTTGTCCTGTTCACCTAGCAGCAAATAGGTACCTGGGTGTTAGTCGACTGGTGTGGGTCGCACCCTGGGGAACAAGATTGAGGACCCCAATGGAAATAAGGTAGACAGTCCTCGATGACGCACTGACTTTCTTGGGTTATCCTGGGTGGCACAATTCATTAAATGTTTAGAGTTGTGCATGTGTCTTTTATCAGCATATTCAGGAACTGCTTGAAAAATACTTACCAATAGTTGGAATGGTTGAGACGACTTCACCAAGTTTCAGCTTGTAGAGTATAGTAGTCTTCCCTGCACCGTCCAGTCCAACTATCCATAGAAAATGGAATCAATACTTGATCGTTCTCTTTCATCCTTAACAACAAACTATGCTAAGATAACTAAATGTTATAAGTAAACTACATTCATGCATATATTTCGCTTTAAAACAGTTTCCGTCCATTTCATTTTATGCGTTCCATGATGAGTGGGATGAATTTCCTATATCAGTGGTGAAATACATTCATTACAAGAATTTCATTGCCTCACTAGAGTGCAAGCTGCCGCAAGATAATGAAGATAGGCCACGAAATTAAATATTTATGTTTATAAACTTATCAGATTAAACAGGAGTTAGGTTTGAAGCCTGTCGACTGCATGACGATCATTAAAGCTGCACTTTACCAGCATCGGTCAGTGAATAAGACAATGTGCGCTAGTTCGATCGCTAGCGCACTCGCTCAGACACTGATGTCCCGAGTTAGTAAGTAAGTAAGTAAGTAAGTTTATTCAGGTATACACAAATACAGTTACATAGAATTATCATACATAGCAGCATATGTGTAGAGAACCTAGGATAACCCGAAAAAAGTCAGACAGAGTGACTTATTTCCATTGGGGTCCTTTTACCTTATTATTATAGTATAAAGGTTATAATATTTTCTTATTATTCTACAATGAAGATAACATCTTATTATCATACTAAAAAGACTATCTGCTACACCAAGGTCATTAAGACTATCTACAATACGAGGGTCATTACAAGGAATAAGGTAAAATTTACACGTATGTTAGCTAAAAAATAGAAAATCATTCCCTTCCCTTTCTGTAGCTACATTCATCAGAACCTTTTGGCACTCTTCTTGAACTGGTTCATGCTATGACTGGCTTTGACATGTGCGGGTAGTCTGTTCCATTTCCTTTATTGCTGTACAATAAAAGGTGTTTGAAGCCTGGCCACTGACTGTGGGTACTACAAAGTTGTGCTCTCTCCCCCTAGTACTATGATTGCTTTGGTTCCCAACCTTGACAAAATTGACAGCAAGATATTCTGGACATTGTTTGTGAGCAATTTTATAAACATGATTTAGCTTCAGTTGTTTTACTCTGTCTTCAACATTCAGCATATCCAACTGCTGTAATTCATCCTGGCCTACATGTTCTCTTGGTCCCAGCCCCAGGATGAATCTTACGATTTTGTTCTGGGTGATTTGCAGTCTATCTTTCAGTTTTTTTGTCAAGGCAGAGTACCAAGAGCAAGCGTAATCCATATGGCATTGTATAAGGGCTAGACATAGGGTCCTGCGAGCCTCAGTAGGTAGACACTGTGCTTGTCTATACAGGAACTTCAGTTTGGCATTCGCTTTCTTTACTACACTGTTCCCTATCAATTCTCCTGACATGCATGGGTCAAAGGGGATTCCCAAATATTTTACTGATGAAACCAAAGTGATGGGCTCCCCATTACATTGAACATTAAAATTATTTACCCTTCTCAGTTTATGTTTCGTGCCAAAGAGAATGGCTTCAGTTTTCCCTAGGTGTAATGATAGTTTGTTGTCTACTAACCATTTGCTGCAGGACTCCAGTTCCAGTGTTAAAACATTAGCAATATCTTGTGGGTCTTTACCTGACACTAACAGAGCACTGTCATCTGCATACAGTAGGAGTTTGCACTTGACACTGATAGGCATATCATTGACATAACATAAGAATAATAAGGGACCCAGAATACTACCTTGGGGAACTCCACATGTTATCGGCAGGGGTTCTGATTCTGTTTTGTTGATTTTGACTATTTGTCTCCTGTTGCTAAGGTAGGACTTAAACCCAGTCTACAGAACCTATACCAATAGCTTGAAGTTTATTACATAATATATTGTGGTTGACAGTATCGAAGGCCTTTTGCAGGTCTAAGGTTACCATGCCTATGAGGTTCCCCTTTGACATTTCAGTTCTCAGGTAATCCATCAGATTAATAAGGGAGGTGTCGGTTGAGTAGGATCTTCTAAAGCCCGATTGATAGCTATGGAGAATGTTGTTGTCATTAAGGTACTTAACTACTTGAGAATACACCGCCCTCTCTAGAATTTTAGATATTATACTGAGTATACTAACAGGCCTATAGTTGCTTACATCAGACCTACTATTTTTCTTGAAGATAGGAGTGACTCTGGCCTCCTTGAACCCCTCCGGTACTGTATTAGTGGTGATTGATAGATTTATTATGTGAGCAATAGGGATTGACAGTTCAGAAGCACCATCTTTTAGGAACTTAGACGGGATGTTATCAGGGCCTGTGCTCTTAGTTGGGTTTAACCTGCTTAGTTCTTTTTGAATAAAGTCATGAGATACACTTACTAGTTGACAACTGTTTGGGGTTACCCCTTTATTGGTATAGTATGTTCGGAGTTCGGATCCCCGATACGGCTGAAAAACATTACAGACGTTTTTCCATAAGACACATACTGTCAATCTTCACCCATCAGTATAAAATGGGTACCTAGGTGTTAGTCGACTGGCGTGGGTCGCATCCTGGGACAAAACTGACCTAATTTGCCTGACATGCTCAGCATAACAAGCGGCTTTGTAGTACAGTATGTCATTGATGTCTGCTAGATTAGATTTTGTTCGGATTTTTAACCCCGGAGAGTTAGCCACCCAGGACAACCCAAGAAAGTCAGTGCATCATCGAGGACTTATTTCCATTGGGGTCCTCAATCTTGTCCCCCAGGATGCGACCCACAGCAGTCGACTAACACCTAGGTACCTATTTGCTGCTAGGTGAACAGGACAACAGGTGTAAGGAAACGTGTCGAAATGTCTCCACCTACCGGGAATCGAACCCGGGCCCTCCGTGTGTGAAGCGGGAGCTTTAGCTACCAGGCCACCGGGCCTGTATAGATTCGTATACCTTGTACATGTACTTGTAGAAATAGATATATTATTTATTTTTGTCCTTCCGAGACTATTTATATTTGTATGGATTGACAAGATCCCTGGTGACCGAAAGCTGGGTGGTTAAAGCTGTCGCTTCCCACACGGAGGGCCCGGGTTCGAATCTCGGCGGGGTGGAAACATTTCGACGCGTTTTCTTACACTTGTCCTGCTCACCTAGCAGCAAATAGGTACCTAGGTGTTAGTCGACTGGTGTGGGTCGCATCCTGAGGGACAAGATTAAGGACCCCAATGGAAATAAGTTAGACAGTCCTCGATGACGCACTGACTTTTTTGGGTTATCCAGGGTGGCTAGCCCTCCGGGATTAAAAATCCGAACGAAATCTTATCTTACCTCACTGTATCTTGTTGACATATACATCAGCAGTCAAGAATACTTTAATGCCTAAAATATGGATTAAATTAAACTGTGTATATTACACGCAAACCTTCTGGAGTATAATTAACCAACCAAATAACGTTTAATGTAGATTTGGTTGGTTAATGGAGTTTAAAGTCTATCCACTACACCAAGACCATTAAGGCTTCACGTAACCTTTTTTTCACCACTAGACAATATTTTAAGCCCTAAAATAGAAACTCAGTAAACTTTTCATATATAATCTGAGAGAAATACACCTCTCGGTGTATTTACCCAGTGAAGGTTCAACTTGAATTGACTTTTTTACTTCAGATTGTTGTATTTCATATTATCAGCATTACTTGCACTTGCACAAGCATATGTCTAACTTGTTACGGAAACAAACTTGGTCGAACAATGCATCATTTTTTTCAGTTTCTTTAATTGTGTTGGCTTCATGTATTTCTTCTACCTGGCCAGGAACGAGTTTCTACGTTGTCACTCGTCTGTTTACTGGCCTTAACCAGAGTGATGCACATACTGTTGTCATACGCTTATCCTTTGTTGTAGTAACGGGTATGTATAAATCGATTGTAAAGTTCGTAGTCACTGTGTTCGTCAGTCATGGCGTAGCCCAGTGTCACTCAGTCACGGTGTAGCTCAGTGTTGCCCCGTTACCGTGTAGTCCAGTGTTACCCCGTCACGTTGCAGCCTACAATGTCACCCAGTCAGTGTGTTGCCCAGTTGAGGTATTACCCAGTTATGGTGTCTAACAAATCATTGTTGCACTGTCACGATGTCAACCAGTCATGGTGTTCCTGGTGGCATCCACTTTGTCAGTTAGCGTTACCCAGGCGGACATCCAGGCGGACAACAACCAAATCTTTCAGTGGGCTGCAGAAAACAATATGAAGTTCAACGATGAGAAATTTCAATTACTCAGATATGGTAAACACGAGGAAATTAAATCTTCATCAGAGTACAAAACAAATTCTGGCCACAAAATAGAGCGAAACACCAACGTCAAAGACCTGGGAGTGATCATGTCGGAGGATCTCACCTTCAAGGACCATAACATTGTATCAATCGCATCTGCTAGAAAAATGACAGGATGGATAATGAGAACCTTCAAAACTAGGGATGCCAAGCCCATGATGACACTCTTCAGGTCACTTGTTCTATCTAGGCTGGAATATTGCTGCACACTAACAGCACCTTTCAAGGCAGGTGAAATTGCTGACCTAGAAAATGTACAGAGAACCTTCACGGCGCGCATAACGGAGATAAAACACCGCAATTACTGGGAGCGCTTGAGGTTCCTGAACCTGTATTCCCTGGAACGCAGGCGGGAGAGATACATGATTATATACACCTGGAAAATCCTAGAGGGACTAGTACCGAACTTGCACACGAAAATCACTCACTACGAAAGCAAAAGACTTGGCAGACGATGCAACATCCCCCCAATGAAAAGCAGGGGTGTCACTAGCACGTTAAGAGACCATACAATAAGTGTCAGGGGCCCGAGACTGTTCAACTGCCTCCCAGCATACATAAGGGGGATTACAAACAGACCCCTGGCAGTCTTCAAGCTGGCACTGGACAAGCACCTAAAGTCGGTTCCTGATCAGCCGGGCTGTGGCTCGTACGTTGGATTGCGTGCAGCCAGCAATAACAGCCTGGTTGATCAGGCTCTGATCCACCAAGAGGCCTGGTCACAGACCGGGCCGCGGGGGCGTTGACCCCCGGAACTCTCTCCAGGTAAACTCCAGGTAATACCCAGTCACAGTGTAACCCAGTCCCATGCATCCGACAGGGTATTTATTCCTATAAGCATGTACTAAAATTTAATCCCTATGTTTGGGACTAAAGTATTCCCGATGGTCACAGGAGTATTGCAGCCTTGATGACCAAATGAACAACTGATAGGCTTTCAAACAACAGACCCGCCACTGCGGGTGGGATATTCTAGCAAGACCATAAGATATCCCCGAAAATGAGTGTGGAAGACTGTTCTTTATACTGTCGGGGTTATTTGTTTGTTGATCGTCATATCCGAGGGCTAGGTTGTAATTCCAGTTATTAGTATGACCCATCGATTTTTAATCTGAGTGGCCCACCTTCGGGAACTTATGAACAGCGGCAAGACAAGAGGAAAAATATGCACACCACCTCCCAAGAAGAAAAAACAAAGGTAAATAGAACAGTGCATGTACTACTAAATTATTAACGTATTAGACTCCGCATGCGTGTTTCAATATGTGTAGATTTTTAAGAACCAAACACAGTGTCTTGATGCCGGTGAAGTGTTCGAGGCCAAAGAATTGAAGCTACCCTTCCCTTCCTCGGATCAAACTTGATTGCCTCCCATTTCCCAGGCGCTGTATATATAACCCCTACGGACTTGTTACTTTCCAGCAGATATAAGAATGATAATGATCTTTGTTTAGAGGTATTACATTACTGAAAGTTGATGAAGATCAGTTACAACAGTGAAATTTGGTTATTAAAATATAATTTTGCTAAATATCAGTTGCATTCGTCTAGTATTAGTTCCTCGTATTACTGTCATTTGTAATAACTTACTGTAGTAAGAATTTTATCGTAGATATATAAAATTCAAACAGTAAGATACAGTTGGGGCCGTGAAAGATCTTAAGTTTGAGGAAGTACAAGTACACTAGTACAACAATACATTGTTTACTCCCGAGACGTGTAATAAGCTAAACAAGATTAATAGTGAAGTGTGAACTGCATCATTTACTCTTGATAATGAAGGTACACAATGATAGTGTAGTATATAGTTTACCCATGAGAATCCTGCAGGGTTTCTTGCTCTGGACGAGATATAGAATACGGCTTAAGATGAGACCCATGTTGACGTTGCTCCTGTATACCTGAAGTCTCTTCTCTACTGCGCTATGAACTTGCTCTCCTGGACCTTGGTCACAGCAGCTGCACTGCTGTGAATGTAGACTGTTTTACGCTTCTGAAGCGACTGTTGATGCTTGTAGTGACTCCGGTGCTTTATACAGGGTCTTCTGGCCACGTTAGCCGAGCCACGATGTCAGGTCCACGTTGCTTGTCAGCCGCGGCACAGCGGCGTGATCTTCCCAGTTTCCTAAAATGACGACAGCACTAACGATACTTCTCACTGATACCCTACTGCTTTATTTGTTCCCTTGATTTTCTCTCAAACAACTGCGGTGAATTGTACCCTTGTGTATGCTACATACGCAAGGGTACAGCCAACTAATTAAGACTATTGTGTATACCTACCTGAGGTACATTAGAATGTGTTGTTTGTACCGAACTGAGGGAGTCAAATGTGTTAAGTGAATGTGGTAGCGTAGCTGCTTCACGTTAAGGAGGCAGACATTAAGACCCGTGTCAGCTGATTTATACTTGACAGATTATAACAACTCATGTTTAAATATGCGCCGTCAAGTCCTTATGAGTTCTCATCCGTTTGTTCCTCACGCGGAAGTGAACAATATAAGTTTAGGAGTTTTTTTTTTTGTGTGCATGCATAGCTTCGTGAAGCCGTGTGTGAGGGCGGACAATGAAGCGACATACTGGTGTTGTTTGATATATTCATGGGGAAGCACTAAACGCCTGGGGTTAACATGACTCACGAAATCGTAATGACACGATTGCAAACGAACCATACCACGGGTGGGTATAGAACCCACGATCAGAGAGTCTCAAAACTCCAGACCGTCGCGTTAGCCACTGGACCAGCTAGCCACAATAAGATTCGTCCAACTAGGTATATTTCTACACCATAGGAAGGTTAGCACAGGCACCACTGTGACCACAAATGCATTTGTGGTCACAGTGGTGCCTGTGCTAACCTTCCTATGGTGTAGAAATATACCTAGTTGGACGAATCTTATTGTGGCTAGCTGGTCCAGTGGCTAACGCGACGGTCTGGAGTTTTGAGACTCTGATCGCGGGTTCTATTCCCGCCCGTGGTATGGTTTTTTTTTCACCTGGGGTTATAGAGAAGTGATCAAGTTTGATGTAAAGGGAAGATAGCTCAAATTCCTTGGATCAAAAACCCTTCAACAGCATTAAGGGGCTGGTGCTAACTCTTGCATGCAATAGGTTAGGTAAGTTGTTGAAAGATTTTTTTGGTTGAGGTGTTGTAGCACTTTTGATGCAAGAATGTGCTGTGCGGAGAGGTATGATCTCATAGATAATGAATCTGATGTAAAGTGAGAGGTATCAGTTATTGTTTGAATATGATGCACTGTTTTTGAGAGATTCTGAAGAGAAGTTGGTGCTTTATTTTTTATTCGGAGCAAATAAGCCAAATTTTCTTAAAAATACAATATTCAAGTCTACCTTAAGAACTGATAGATATATTTACATGAATTAAAATACATACTTTTTGCACTAAATATAACTTGCAACTTAACCTTGATAAAAATTCAATATAACATAGATTAACTAACAGCTGCTAATATCAAGTTGTATATATGATATGTTATCTTCCCTCGCTCGAGGTAAAGATTACAAGGGTACATTACTACGTACGCAAACAGACCTGGTTATGACTCAGGTCGCTGAGGTACGGTAGACGTGGAAGTAATGATTTTCACCATCGTGTGTGTGTGTGTGTGTGTGTGTGTGTGTGTGTGTGTGTGTGTGTGTGTGTGTGTGTGTGTGTGATCCAATTAATATTTGTACCATTAACTCATTACAATTGTGACCGGATGTGGAGGTGTGAATGGCTCATTACTTTGTAATTTGTTCATGATTGTAACCATGTATAGACATGTAGATGATTCATTACCTTTGTAACTTGTCATGATTGTGACCAGATCTACCTGGAGTTCATTACCTTTGTAATTTGTCCAGCTATCAAAACTTTGGGGTCCAGTCCCATTATGTACCTCTGTAATCCTTTGACTACCGCCCACAGGATGGGTATGGGGTGCATAATAAAAATATTAATCTAAAAAACTCACCATCGAGACGGACTGAGGCAATTTGCTTTGAATGTATAAACCACCACCGCTTCTAAATCCCCAACTTCACCCCACCACTGTAACTGTCCTAGAGAATAATGTAGCGGCACACTGCGGGTGTATCCAAGGTCTCTTAGGTGGGACCAGGTCTCTCTAGTTTTCCTAAACTAACAAAGAGTCATACAATGCTACACTTATACCCGCAAAACTTGCGCAGACCTATAAGCAAAGAAATAAGTGTTATTGGCTTTACAGATGGCTTATTGGAGGTCGAGTTTGGTGCCTTCAGAGTAGAATAAATTTGTGTAGCCATGATGGATGGGTTCCAAGTAATGAATTTGTAATTATTTTGTGTGTTAAGTAATAAAGTAATGACTGGAGGTCAAGTTTTGGTGCATAAAGATAGAGGATTGTGAGTAGATTTCTGGAGCAGTAATGGTTTGGTAACAGAAGTGGACTTATAATAAATTGTGTAAAATTTCGATAACACTCGTAAAAATTTTGAAATTCGAATGATGGGTATTCATTTTTTGAATCTTGAATTTGTCTTGGAATAGAAGTGTTTTGGAGAGGCAGTATGCCTTATTTTAATGCTAAATATTCCAACATTGACTCATTTCTATGGATCTTTAGAATGCTTTCACAGGGCAATACATCAACATATCACAAGGCCAATGCACCAACATTTCACAGGGCCAATACACCAACATTTCACAGGGCCAGTACATATGCATTTCACAGGGCTAATTGCGCTAACATTTCACAGGGCCAATACACCAACATTGTACAGGGCCAGTAAACCAACATTTCCCAGGGCCAGTACACCAACATTGTACAGGGCCAGTAAACCAACATTTCACAGGGCCAATACACCAACATTGTACAGGGCCAGTAAACCAACATTTCACAGGGCCAGTACACCAACATTGTACAGGGCCAGCATTAATCTACCCAGTTTCCTCCGACTTGAGACAAAACTCAGCCCATCACTGCGGTACTGTGATATGTAACAAGGCTTCATTGATGGGCTTAAGGGATGCCGTCTTTATCTTGCAACTGAAGGAACTAAATTCGAACCTGGAACGAATGTAAAAGTTGGTCATATTTACTTACACCCGTTATCCTTGTTCACCTAACAGTAGAAGTAGGTACCTAGGTGTTAGACGACTAGTGTGAGTCGTATTCTGTGAATAATAATATAATATCTTTATTTACTACAAGTACATGTACAAGGTATACAGGCCTAACTGACATCAATGACATACTACTATAAGTAAGTTTATTCAGGTATACACAAATACAGTTACATAGAATTGTCATACATAGCAGCATATGTATAGAGAATCTAGGGTAACCCAAAAAAGTCAGAGTGACTTTATTTCCATTGGGGTCCTATATAGAAAGCCGCTTGTTATGCTGAGTATTTCGGGCAAATTAGGTTAATTTTGTCCCAGGATGCGACCCACACCAGTCGACTAACACCCAGGTTCCCATTTTACTGATGGGGAACACACACAACCGGTGTAAAGAAACACGTTCAGTGTTTCTACCCTCGCCGGGAATCGAACCCAGATATCACCGTGTGAAGCAAGAGCTTTAGCCGCCAGGTCACGGACATCAAAGAACTTCACCTGAAATAAGCAACACTGATAAGCTTTCTTGGGTTATCCTGGATTACTAACAACCTGGGTTAATCCGGATAAAACCTCATGTTCATTCCCTTCCCCGCCACTTCTAGTGTTAAATAATTAAATAAAGTTATGAACATTATCCGATTTCAAAAGCTTTAAATTAGGTTACAAAGCTGGGTTTGGTATACAATAAAGCTATACAGTACCAAAAATTTGCATAACTATAGCTTTTGCTGGGAACGCCGAAACTTTGTTTTTCTATAATAGTTATACTGTATAAATTTAATGTTTTCTATAGATCATGTATACATATGTTCGTTTTCTTTGTCAATGTTATGGGTAAACAAACAAAAATAAATGACCAGCACTAAGAATGTTTAAACAGTCATTTGGATTATTAACCCCAGAAAGCTGATGAACCAATATAACCAAAGAAGGCCAAGCAATGTGGCTTATTTCCATTGGGTCTTTTTAGGCTCTTCAGAATGCGGTCCACAACACTGCTAGGTAACAAGGACCACAACAGAAATAAATCAGATTGCAACAAGGATTTTTTTTGTAAATATGTTTATTAAGGCACAGGTACACATAAGTACAATTATCATAGTGTAAATTACCTTGGATAACCCCAAAAAAGTCAAAGTTACTTTTATTTCCATTTACGGTGCCCAGTGGCCTGGTAGCTAAAGCTCTCGCTGCACACGGAGCGGGTAGAAACATGGGGCGTGTTTCCTTACACCGGTTGTCTATGTTCCCCATCAGTAAAATGGGTACCTGGGTGTTAGTCTACTGGGGTTGCTAGGACTGGGGACAGTTGGTCCCGGAGCTGAGGAGGTACTTGTACCTCCTCCCATGGGAGACATAGGTCTCAAGACACTCCCAAGACAGGGAGCCAAGGCCGGGTCACCATCTGGAAAAGACCCGGCCCGGGAGAGTACCGGCGAATCAAGAACAACAACAATCATAACCATGTGATTTTCAAAGGGGTGGACCGGTATGCCAGCGGAAGTCCTCGGTCAGACGACCAAAAGCTCCAGCATACGACAAGACCGCGTCAGGAAACACTTGTCCGGTTTCCTGACAAACATTATACCTACCTTTACTGAATTATACCAGACTAAATCTACATGCTCATATACAATATAAACACTGATCTCTGGCTGAAGGAGACTCGAACCTACGAACCTTGGAGGCGAATGAAGAGGAAGATAAAGAGGAACAAGATGACGATAAAGAAGATGGAGAGGAAAAGGCAAACAAGTACGAAGAGGAAGAGGAGGTGGAGGATGAAGAAGAGGATGGAAGAAAAGGGTGAAGAAAAGGAGGATAAAGGAAGACGGTAACGCACAGCATGGTACAGAGCGTTACGAAAGATTACATCACTCAGCTTTCACCATGAAAATTATTGTTGCCTTGTCCGAGTCGCATTATATTCATCGCGAAGCTCTAAACCCGTAGGGAAGGATAAT